TGACCGCTGACCGAGTGACCGCCGAGTGACCGCCGAGTGACCGCTGATCGAGTGACCGCCGCCGCCGAGTGACCGCTGATCGAGTGACTGAGGCCCGCAAAATCGCACAGCTAGAGCAAATCCTCACTGAGGAGACGCAAGACGGCCCAGACAGCCGTAGGCAATTGCTGGCGCAGCATCATAGAGCCGTGTTCGCCCTTTATTATCAGCGGGAAGTCGAAATGACGCAATTCCGATCTTGCTTGTGCACGCATGGATTTCTGCTTCGGCTCCTGGCAGCTGACAAGGGACTGAGTTGCATTAAGTTCTTCAAAGCCAAGAACCCAGGGGTGCTGTTCATCGACGAGACCAGCGAGCTGGAAGTGGGCGCCTTTCTGTCCCTCACAGCAACTTTTCCACAGGCAGTCTGCCTGCTGGACAGCGGCCAAACCATGAGCAAGGCCAACAGCACCAAATTACAACTGGATGACGAGCCGACGGAAGTGCAGACTGCAGAACTTCTCAAGAACACACGCAGGCCCGAATCGTCAGGTGACTGCCACTTAATACTCTTTCCTTTGCAGATTCCTGTCCAATCGTTACGTGATATCGCTTATCGAAGCATCCGTCAAATCAATCCGCATCATCACTACATGACATACCATGCACTGTTCCATGCAACATCAACATCATCGCATAACATTGAAGACTCATCCACTACTTTACAGACCGACCATGTAGACCAAATACTAGTGTTTGAAGACAGCCTTGATGCCTGCAGATTGGAGATGAACGAGACCTACCGCTTGGGAGCATCAGTGGTCCAGGTGCTACGTTCCTTGCACAGCGTCTATCGCAACCTGCGCAGTGTGGCGCCCACTGAAGCTGAGCTCCGAGTCTGGCAGTTGCCTCGGACATTTGCCTTAAACAAACCCCATCCATGGATGGAGGTTGGAAAAAAAGTAGAGATATCAACCTGTTCAATCACCGATCTGTTGAATGTCCACAGTTTCCGATCCGGTCCAATCCTTTCAAAAGGTCCCTTTACAGCTACTGTACTGGAGCTCAGACCTCGGATATGGATTCGGAGTAAATACATGACATGTGCACATGGGTTCTGAGTCCCTTCAGGCTATGATGCTTGAGGCTGTTTTGGTGTTTGGGACTCAGCAAAATCTGGATGTGCGGGGAATGCATCACCAATGTTTGGACGGTTCATCCGCTTCCTTCGTGGGCTGGTCATTGTCCCCAACAGTGAGGAGGTCCAACTGCAGGCCAGCTGCCACACTCACCCATCCCCATCCTCACCCACCCCCATTCTTCTCCACCCATCCTCACCATGTCCGGGCCGTTGTTTTCCGCCCACCGGCAGGTGCATGGGAAGAGTGGGAAGCTGATGGGCACAGTGAAGTTCGTGGGGCAACGACCTCCGCGGACACGGCCGGAGCACTGGCCGGATCGAAAACCCGGTCCGGACGAGCAGATCAGTACGAGTCAACGTTGCAAAGACTGTGTGTAGCCGTAGATGATGCAACCAAAAAGCCTGTGCTAGGCAGCAGTTTGTTCCACCATGACCCGTTTCCACCATGAGAAACGGACCGGTTTGCCATGTGGCGTTTTTCGTGGGTGTTTCGGTCCTTTCTCGGCGCGTCGCGCGTCTGTCAGGGAGACGAAGTTTGGTCCCGGGACATGGGTCGGCGTGGAGCTGGAGCGGAGGGGTCGCATGCGTTGAGCTGCGTCGCGTATGGTCGTCCCATCCAGTGGATGTGCGGCGCCCAACTCAAACTGAGAGGAATGGACGTGACCTGGTCAAGGTGGTAGATCCGGTGTCGGCGATTTGCGGAGATGATGGATGGTCTGAGAACATTCCATGTCCAACTTTGGGTAGCTGCAACTTCAAATGCCAAGCTGCCGGGCACTTTGATTGAGAACAATCTACTGAGAACCAGCAGCCAGGATGCACCTGAGGGCAAGTTCGATGGCTCTGTCAAGGGTGAAAGGCCGGGACTCTGGCTGAGAAAAGTTGGCAGGGAAGCATTTCAGTTGTTTCTCATAGGTTTTTGAAATGCTGGTGAATGCATGCTGCTAAGGAAAAACTGCATCTTATTTGTGTAACCTTGATTCCATTAATTTTGAGCCCCATTTGTGCACCGTCTGGAGATCTGAAAACAGCCCCACAGTCTGGTGCTTTTGGTGCTCAGCCGGTCGGCCCGAGTTGAGCTCGTTCTAGCCATCTTCAGGTCCTTCACAGCAATGGGCCCGCCTAGTTGGAGAACTTGTAAAGTGCCGTAACATATGTTATAACATGGGTTAACTGATGTTGTAAGCTGGTCTAAGATTGTGAAGTGTTCTAAGTTCTTGGTGGTATTTACGTTGCAGTTGCAAATTACTTTCGATGTATATAAGTAAGTTATCCTAGTTTATGTTGGAGGGTGCTAAATTAGTGCTAAATCACTTACAACTTACTTAGGGAACTTAGGTTTTTGCATTGAAAAAACTATGTTTTTTGTGGACGGGTTTGCAAAGAAGCTTTTTCTATTTTTTTTGTGTACTCTTCTTTTTTGCGTAGAACTGAGACTGATTAGCAAATCTTTGTATTTTGTGTTGTTTTGGAAACATTTTTTCTGTTTTTATGGGCGCGATTGTTTTTTATGTTTTAGTCGTGAATAATTTGTGGGGTGGTGGTCCACCCGTACGACAGAGTAGTACTTTGCACACAGAAACACGTAAACATGCAACACGCACACGTAGTAGAATATAGTGTAACGAATCCATTATGTAGGCCATGGAACAACTAGAAGCCATTAAGCTGGATCACGCCCCAAAATTGAGGAGTAGATCCTTGCCTGTCCGTGACGCATCACAAGACGCGCACACACACAGCCCCTCAAAAGATCTGATGTAACCTGATGAACAAGAGGCTATATGTACAGTAGATGTACTTAGGTGTCACTTTTGATTTACTAAGTATTTATAAGTCACATTA